ATCATTAATATCAAACAAACATCCCGGCAAGGGAACAATGGTGATAATAACATATGAAGCGCAATAAACCACAACAGAGTCATAACAATTATAATACACGACTCACGGACATGCTTGACACCAACGTATAGATACTCGTCACCATGCCTATACGTCGTACTCCACAATTACCATGTAGCAAATAAGACACAACTTCTAATCCCTCAAGCAAAGGTTAGACCAAACACTTACCTGGATGCCACGAACACAATTCACGATTCAATTATAGCTTTACCTCTTGATTCCACCACCATTTCGCTCGTATCTAGTCACAATTTACTTAATTATATCAATAAACGCTAAATGAATCAATTTGAATGCATGAAAATGAATTTTCTAATGTTTTACCCAAAAAGTCAAAAATCGCCCCCGGGCCCACACGGTCAAACCCGAGGTTCGAATCAAAATTCGATTACCCATTCCCCCACAAACTCAAATATATAATTTATTTTGAAATCGGACCTCAAATCGAGGTCCAAATCCCCAATTTTTGAAAAACCTAGGTTCTACCCAAAACACCGAATTTTTCCCATGAAAATCATTATTTTTGAGTTGAAATCATGTTAAGGAATAGAGAAAATGAGTTAGAAATCACTTACCAACGTTTTGGAGAAGAAAGGTTGTTTGAAAAATCGTCTCTTATGTTTTTGGGGTTTTGAAAAATGAAAAATAACTGAAAATCCCGTCTAAATATACTACTCTCAGATGCCCTGTGCGGACCGCACAAAATCAGCTGCGGCCGCACAGCCCTTCCTGTGTATTATAGTGACTTGTTTTAGTATTTTGGCCATAACATTCTCTACTTATGTCCAAATTGTGGTTTCTTTACCTTTCTGGAAACTAGACACGAAGAGCTACAACTTTCATTATTGAATAGTCTCACAATTCCTTGTAGATAAAAAGATATTGGCTTCCGAAGTTGGACCAGTGAACCTGTACGGACCGCACAAAATCAACTGCGGCCGCACAGTCACCAGTGCGGACAACACAAAAACTAGTGCGGACCGCACTAGCAGGTTTAGAGATTTGCACTTCTCTGAACCTCCAATAGCCATGTTTTAAGCCTAAGACACCTCGTAACCTACCCGAAACTCACCCGAGCCCTCGGGACTCCAAATCAAATGTGCATACTAACTCAAAAACATCATATGGACCTACTCGTGCGATCACATCATCAAAATAACATGTAAAATCATGAATTAAACCTCAAAACTCAACATTTTCATCAAAAACTCTCAAAGTTCATAACTCTTCAATCGAAAGTCCAACTCACGTCAAATAAACTCTATTTTTTACCAAATTTCACAGTTATCTTTCAAATACTATAACAAGTTTGTACCGGGCTCCGAAACCAAAATACGGGCCCGATAACAATAGTTTCAAATATTAATTCTTTTCTTTATTTGTTAGATAATTCAGTAAAACAATTTCTTTCAAAAATTGATTTCTAAGGACCTCGGAATTCATTTCCGGGCATATGTCCAAGTCCCATATTTTACTGCGGACCTCCATAGATTGTCGGAACACAGATCTGGGTCCGTTTGCTCAAAATGTTGACCAAAGTCAACCATAATCAAAATTTTAACTCTAGAAATTTCTATCTCATCTTTTCTCATAGAAGGCTTTTCGGATATAGGTTCGGACCACGCACGCAAATTAAGGTGAGGTAAAAGGGAGGTTTTTAGGCCTCGAAACACTGGATTCACTTGCAACACAAGTAATGACCTTTTGGGTCATCACATTCTCCACCTTTAAAATAATCATTCGTCCTCGAACAGACATAAGAAGGAAGTACCTGAGTCTGGAAAAAGATGGGGATAACGGCTCCGCATATCGGACTCGGACTCCCAGTTCGAGGCAGCAGTGGTCTGACCTTTCCACTGAACACGAACAGAAGGAAAACTCTTCGATTTCAATTGATGAACCTGCCGGTCTAGAATAGCTACCGGCTCCTCCTCATAAGACAAGTCCTTGTGCAACTGGACAATGCTGAAATCTAACACGTGGGATGGATCGCCGTGATACTTCTGAAGCATGGACACATGAAACACTATATACACAGCTGATAAGCTCGGCGGCAACGCAAGTCTATAAGCCACCTCTCTCACTCGATCAAGAATCTCAAACGGGCCAATGAACCTAGGGCTAAGCTTGCCCTTCTTCCCAAATCTTATCACGCCCTTCATAGGCGACACTCGAATCAATACCCGCTCACCGACCATGAATTCCAAATCACGAACCTTGCAGTCGGCATAACGCTTTTGCCTGGACTGAGCTGTACGAAGCCTATCCTGAATAATCCTGACCTTGTCCAAGGTATCCTGAACCAGATTCGTACCCAACAACCGAGCCTCTCCCGGCTCAAACCATCCAATTGGAGATCGACACCGCCTACCATATAAAGCCTCATACGGAGCCATCTGAACTGATCCCTCGACTGGCAGTTGTTGTTGTAGATAAACTCTGCTAAGGGCAAAAACTGATCCCACGAGCCTCCAAAGTCAATGACACAAGCTCGGAGCATATCCTCCAAAATCTGAATAGTCCGCCCGGATTGCCCTTCGTCTGAGGATGAAATGATGTGCTCAACTCAACCTGCATGACAACTCTAGCTGAACTGCTATCCAAAAATAGGAGGTAAACTGCGTACCTCGATCCGAGATGACAGACTCGGGCACACCATGAAGACGAACAATCTCCCGGATATAGATCTTAACTAACCTCTCGGAAGAGTAGGAGATTGCCACAGGAATGAAATGCGTTGACTTGGTCAACCTATCAACAATAACCCACACTGCATCGAACTTCCTCTGAGTCCGTGGGAGTCCAACAACAAAGTCCATAGTGATCCGCTCCCACTTCCACTCAGGAATCTCAATCTTTTGGAACAAACCACCAGGCCTCTAATGCTCATACTTGACCTGCTGACAATTCAAACTCCGAGCCACAAATGTTGTGATATCCTTCTTCATTCTCTACCACCAATAATGCTACCGTAAATCCTGATACATCTTTGCAGCACTCGGATGAATAGAGTACCGGGAGCTATGGGCCTCCTTTAAAATCAACTCTCGGAGCCCATCTACATTATGCACACAAACTTGACCCTGCAATCTCAAAACTCCATCATCACCTAAGGTAACCTGCTTGGCACCTCCGTGCTGCACTATGTCTCTAAGAATACACAAATGGGGATCATCATACTGCCGATCATAGATATGCTCCAATAAAGAAGAATGAGCGACCGTGCAAGCTAACACACGACTGGGCTCAGAAACATCCAACCTCATGAACTGATTGGCCAAAGCCTGAACATCCAAAGCAAGCGGTCTCTCATCGACCGGAATATAAGCAAGACTACCCATACTAGCTGACTTCCTACTCAAAGCATCGGCCACCACATTGGCCTTTCCCAGATGATATAAGATGGTGATATCATAGTCTTTTAACAGCTGCAACCACCTTCTCTGCCTCAAATTCAACTCCTTCTGCTTGAACAAGTACTGCAGACTCTTGTGATCCGTGAACACCTCACATGACACGCCATACAAA